AACCTATGACTTTATTTAGGTGATTTTGGACGACATGCTAACCTATGACTTTATTTAGGTGATTTCAGGCGACATGCTAACCTATGACTTTTTAATCATATTTCAAACGACATACTAACCTATGACCTTTTTAGGTGATTTTGGACGAACTGCTTATTAACCTATGACTGTTTTACCACATTTCAAACGACATACTATACCTGTGACTTTTTTTTAATTATTACGTAAAGACTGTTTGTGTGATTTCATGTAGATGTGTGAGTTGAGGCTGTTGTAGCATTACCTTGCACTTCCTGTGTGTTCTGCAGGACCACAACCAGAGGGAGTTGTCTCTGCTGCGTCGCAGGCTCGAGGACCTAGAGAGCGCCCAGCAGCTGCAGCTGGAAGAACTGGGATCTGTGGTGCAGACTGACCAGGACCAGACTCCCCCGCCTGACCTCTGACCCGTGCACTGCTTCACATTCGGACTTGTGCTACAATTACTGAGTGGAGCCGTGGTTACAAATCAAGGACACCAACAGTGTTTTTTACAAAATACTTTTCACTTTTATTGATGTATCTACACGTCTCACTAATGTAATGTTGAAATGCTGCAGCACCTTTTTTCATCAACCTCAGGATTTGATTTTGTATTGATGATGTTTTCTCCTAAGTCAATGTTTAAACAGACAGTTGGTGTCCAAAAGATAATGATTTACTGATAAACGTTTTTTGTGACACTTGACTTTGTGTATTTCAGTTAATATCAGAACAGTATTCTGTTGTTTGCTGTGAACACAGTTTAAGATTCATTGTGTAGGATTTAGTTGGATCAAGGGGCAAACATGGAATTGACAGTCATTTTTGTAATTATGTTTTTATCAGTATATAATCACCTGAATCATCAGTGGGGGTTTTTGTCCCCTGAAGGCCACCATAGCTTCTTCTGCATGCTGCCAGTAACCGGGTATACAGTTGGTAGCAATCTCCACCCTCACTGCTAGATAGCACTAAATCCTACACAATGAACCTTTCACAACTGAATGCTCATCAGACACAGGACGAGTTGGCAAATGTCACACAGTCACAATCCCCATTCAGCACAAGTGTTCTTTACAAGAAGTACAAACAGGATGTGTGTCACTTCACTACCTTCAAAATGTGTAGTTTCTCCTGACACCTTCCTGTTGGCACTCAGGCACCTCAGCTCCACTTGCAGCTCTTCAGTCCATCAAACTGTGTTTTCACATGATGAAGTTGCTCCATCAGCTCAGTAGGGGCGCCGTTCTCGTTCAACTTCTCTTGAATCTTGAAAAAGGGAAAGTTGATTTTTAGAAATCTATTTTTTTTCACCAAAATAATGTCACTCCTTCTGCTCATGTCACACACTGTAAAGACTGAGGACTGAAGCTGATCCATCCTCTTATAATAAGAAAACTCTTGCAGTAACTTAATATTGAAAACAAGTCAAACTCTTATTGTTTTGCAGTGAAACTCAATGCACAGGAAGTGACAGAAAAAAGCTTATAAATATTATTTCCTGAACATGTGGCATCAGATAACAGTTAGTTTCACAAGTGAAGTCAATGCAGATGTCATAAATTTGGGGGAGCTGCAACCAATTGTGTTCCTCACCTGTATAAAAAGCATTTCTATAGAATAACACTCGACAGAGCAAATACCCTCAACAAGCCCAAAACATTTCCTACACTTAGGCCATTCTATATTTAGCAAGTTCCTCAGTTTAGATCTGTTTTAATCATAACAACTGTAGTCGGTTTCGAGCTGCAAACAGAAAATGCGTGAGCAGCTCTTGAGATGATTAACTGACCTCTGTGAAGTATCTCGGGATGAATTTGTAGAGCTCTCTGAGGGCTGCTGCTTCGTTGAATTCATTTTCATGTTTCTGAAATCAAAACAAACCGTCATCCTCTCACGGTGTGACCTTTATTCCTTCATTTTCTTCAGATTCAGGATTGAAATGGACGTTACCTTTGACTCCTCCTGCAGGAAGCTCTTGAACTCTGCCTCTGTGATTGTTGACTGGTCTCTGATCTGTTTGTAGTAAGCCTTCACTTCCTGTTTGTACCTGGGAATGTCTTTGGCATACAGGAGCTTGTTGGTTGGTGTGTACTGCAACACAACAACATTCAAATTTAAAGTTTCAGCTGCGTGAGTTGACTTCTACATTTGTGTTGAGCCCCACCAGTATTCCGTGTGGCTCTTTACCTTCCCCAGCTGGGACTCAGTGAGGGAGAAGGAGTCCATGAAGGCCTGAGCGATGACGGAGAGGCAGCCATCGAGCTGTGGTGTTTTCTCCATGTCGAAAACAAACTGCGGGTTTTTCAGGATATTGATCCAGAAGCGCAGAGGTAAACTAGGAAGATACCAAAACACTTTAAAATTCTCAACCTCAGCAGACCTACTGCTCCCCTGCATGTGTCTGGATGATTCAGACGTACCTGTTGGTCTTCCAGATGTGCAACACATCTGGGTCAATGATCTTCATGTTGTGCGCCTGAGCGTCCAGGAAGTCAAAGAAGTATTTGATGGCGTGTGGAGCTCTGCCGTGCGTCAACCCCCAGATGGACCTAAACAGGTTCTCCACAAACGAATGCACTGCCACCTGAGAGACAGACAGAGAATGAGAGAGAATGGGAAGTAAAGTCTCTGCTGTTATGAACTCTACCCAGTGTAAGTTTTCTTTTATTCTTTGTTTGCTGTTGTGTCAATGTTTGTTTAGGCTTTGTTCTATCTTCTATATATTCGACATATGTCTATGATCTCTGTTAATTGATGGTTATGCTTCACAATAAAATATTTACAAAAACAACGGCCAACATGTTTATGTTTGCGGATATGTGCTAATATGAACACTACAAAATACTTATGTTTACATTTTATTTTAAAATGTATTTATTTATTATTTACCCCCCAAAATCCGTCTATCAAATCAATCTGAGGCTGTTCAGATTCAATCACCAATGGTGGCAGTTTAAGGTAGAGAGCAACAAATGTTTCACTTTGGGTTCATCAGGCCGACTCCTTTAACCACAACTGTGACCTACTATTTAAACTTCCTGTCAAAAAAAAGGGAAGCTCAAAGTGAAGCAGCCAGCAACACAGAAATAGCAACACTGCTTGTACAGGATATAACGCAAGAGGCAGATTCTTGTATCAGTTCAGTCTAAAATGAGGCACCGTGTTCCTCTTGCCTTGGTGGAGAGCAGCTTGGTGAGGTACACTTCCTTCAGTTTTAACTTCTTCCTCTCTGGGTCCTTCCTTTGGTCCTCATCTACATCAGGATCAATCTGCGTTTAAAGGAGACACCAGCCAGCAAGTGAGCTCATCTCAAGCCAATATTCTGGAAGAAAAACCTTAATGATTCACTTCAATAAACAAACTGATTCTTACCAGGTGGAAGTATTTTCCAGAGAAGTTCTCATCATCTAGAGGGAAAATGAGCAGAAATTAACATTGATCGTGAAATAATTCAATTCTTCAACTTGTTTTATGGTCGTTGATCACACACTCCACATTAACTGTATATTACTATGATCCTTTTTCTTTTAAACCCTCCTGTGCTTAACAGGAACATTGGGGCCATTTTTAAAAGGTGACACTAGATCCAGACGGACACGCTACAGGTGCAGCTGGATACAGTTTGTGTGTTTCTCACTGAGCACGTGTTGTAACAAACCCGACCAACATTCGTGACAAAATAATCTCAAGTTAAGTTTAAGCAGACTGACATGCAGGTTTTTCTACAGTGTCGACTTGACCTGAAACAGTTTGCCGATTGCAAAAAATAACTAGAACTTCAAAACGTCCATCAACTTTTATGGAAATCCGTGCAGTTATTTTGTGTTATCTTGATTTTTATTGCTTGATCAAAAAGAGGCGGATAACTTGAGAACGAAAATGGTTTAGTTGTACAGAAATAACTCCCACAGTCAATTCAAACTGTTTTCATGGATCTAAATGTTAAGAGAATAATTGTTGTCAAAATGTGGAGCTGTTCCTCAAAGTGTTCAGGCAACAGTTGTAGCAGTAAGGAGAAAACTCATTTAGAAAATCTACGCTACACAGTGTCGCAGCTCTCACCTTTCAGACTTCCCTGTGGACTCAGAGGAGGATGAGTTTTCCTCGGAAGCACTTTGATCGTTGCTCCATCAGGAACCTGCAGGACGACAATCAGATCAATTTTTTTACACACACACACACACACACACACACACACAGAGTCTGTGTGTGTGTGTGTGTTACTATTTGAATGTTAAAACAGCTTCTGGTGGATCTGTTGGGTTTCTATCCATGTCCTCACTGTAAACTGCCCTGAGATAATGAATGTTATGATTTCGCTCTATGTAAATTAGGGATGCAATAATCAGTCAAGGAGTCAGTAAGTGATCGACAACTTAAGTCATCACCAACTATTTTGATAATCGATAAATCAGTGTTTTTTGGGATAATAATCAATTTTCAGTTTTTTTAAATGTGAATATTCTCTCAGTGCTCGTCTAATGACAGTAAATATCTTCGGTTTTAGGAATGAAAATCTGTGTTGGGGATTGGGTTAAAAATGTTTTACTATTCTCTGTGTGAAGCTGAAAGTGAGAGGAAGCGGAGATGTGCAGGAAATATTGTTTTTTTTTTACATAGGGTGTGTTTCTGTTGTGTCACACCTCAGCAGCTTATCCAACACACAACCCCAGAGTTTCAGTATGATAGAGAGAGAGAGAGAGAGAGAGAGAGAGAGAGAGAGAGAGAGAGAGAGAGAGAGAGAGAGCCCTCATCAACTGTCTCACCTTATAGTGCTTGAGTGTGTTGAGCATCGTCACCTCCCCGATCACCTCAGAGCTTCTGTCCACTTCCTCGAGAGGAACAAAAGATCCGTCCCTCTCATACTCTGGTGGGAAAATGTGGGACAGTTGTGATTAAACATCTTGAAGAGACGTTTTTTCAGATAAAGATAAGTTAAGGGAAACTTTAGTATCAAATATTTGTTTCATAAAACATCAAGTAAAATAAACAAAAATGCGTTAAAATCACGTGATGTGCTTTGAGAATTTTATTTGCCATTGTTCTTTCTGCCCAAGGCTTTTCAGCTTCCCAAACCTTTCTGTGTACATTTTCTGAGAAATGTTTCTTTTAAGTAAAAATTGCTATAACACCTGGGCCATGGGGTTTTCCATCAATGCTTGCACATAATAATATAATATAATATTTTTAAAGAAAGTACAAAGAAAACAAATACTGATTAAAGTTCATTAATAATAAAGGCAATAACAAATATACAAGGCCAGTTATAAAGTGTATAAATAATAAATATGAAATGAAAATTATTATAAAATATAGTTTGTTTTGTGAACATGGTGTCTATCTTTTGTTTTTCATGCTTTGATTTTACACTGTTTTATTTAGGTCTTATCATCATTGCTGATTATACATATGTTTTGCAGTTTTTTAAAATCTTGACTGTAAGTTAAATTTTTCACTTTTAATGAGTGTGTTTGATTTTATTCTGTAAAGTACTCTGTAATTGTTTTTAAAAGTGCTATGCAAATAAAGTTATTACAATTTGGGACAGAGACAAAATGACGAGACCTCTGTTTTGATACTGACCAATACAAACGTCTCTGAGGGGAACGTTGAAGGAGAAACCAAACTTGGTCTTGAAGGTGGACAGGATTTTCTCCTTGACCTGCTCCACTGTGTCGCAGCTCAGACTGTTGACCTCCAGAGGCTCACTGAGCTCCCCGTCACCGCCCACAGCAAACAGCACCTTCAGCTTCTGCACACAACAGACACACAATACTGACATGTTGTCGTATTTTCAAATCACCCAGCTGCAATGAGATCTTTATCACCTCATGCAGGATTAAAAAAAACTAAAAGTCATTGTTAATTACGTCGTATAAACTCAAGCACATGGTACTGTCGTGACTGAACGCTTTCATAAAAACCACAAAAATAACCACTAATCTCAGTTTCACCGTCATGATAATTAAGTGAAACAACACATTCAGTCAACCCTTTACCTAATGAGGTGAAGGGAATGAAGCTTTCAGAGGAAGTGAGAGGAAGTGTCAGTCTCTACTTTTGTTTAGCTTCGTGCGGTTTTGAATTCAATGTTTGCAACATGTAATGGATGGAAGAGAGCAGTAAAGTGAGCAGTAAAGTGAGGTGGTGGTTTGTTGTATAAAAAGATATGTATGTACAGAGTACATAGATAATAGTGGTATTAACAAGAACAAGAGAGCTAAAAGACAAGTAGTCACCTCCAGTAAGTTAAAAATATGCCTTGTGACAGACTTGTATCTTCAGACATTTCAGTCAGAGCCTCTGGGCCCTGAGGAACGCTCTGTCTAAAAAGTTATCAATACAGTTTTGATCATCACAAAATATCAGTAGTTTGAGCACAAGCAGAGCAAATCTGAGCACAAGCAGGGGTTTTTGTAAGCCCTGCTTTCAAACTGAAGGATCACGCTCTTGAAAATTGTGGGTAACCACACAAACCAAAGTGTGTGTGCGTGTGTGTGTGTGTGTGTGTTTGTGTTTGTGTTTGTGTACCAGGGCGCTGAAGTCCTGAGCCTGCCACAGCAGCCAGTCCTCACTGAGCGTGTACAGAGCCTTCTCAGTCACACAATCCACAGGCCCTTTTCTGATCTGCTGCGTCAGAGCGCTCACCATCAGGAACAGGTGCTGGCCAACTATTTCCTGCACAGAATCAGAAACAGGAACTCAGTGGGTCAAACTGTGGAAATAACGCCAACACTTTGAGAGGTGGCAACCACAGCGGGAACGTTTAGTTTATGATACTTCTGAAATTGGTCCATTGCAGTTTACTGGCTGAAGTGAAATACATCACATTTATAACAGTTTAAAGGAAGCAGCTCTTCACAGTAAGTTTTAAAAATGGAAGGCTGCTGGGCTATTAAACCATCACGTGTGTTGTGTAGGCGTTATAACAACTTAACAGTGACAAACATATGTGTGACTTCAATCAAATCCTAATGTATGGTGAGAGATATAACCTGTGAACTAAGAGCATGAAATGCTGCACTGACTGCATTAGAGCTGTAGAGAGCTAATGTCCTTTCTCATGCTGTGTCTAATGTTGGCAGAGTAAGTTTAGTGAGGACAGGATGTGATTTATCAAATCTATTTCTAGACTAATAACCTGCTGGGAAATTACAGAGATACCCAGACATGATTTGAATAAACAGAAGTTAATCATGGGACAAAAATACAGCAACACAACGTACAGCAATTCCCCATTCCTGCCTTTCCCGAACCCACACATATTCTGATGCATGGTCTGTATGGTGAAATTATTATTAACATTTTACTTCCCACATTTTCACAGTTATAAATTATAACACTGCAAGTCACAAGCAGAGGCACGACAAAAGCTGCTTTCAAACTGGGCTGAACTCCACAGATCCTCCATATTGATTCTGGAGGAGGTGTGAACTCAAATGTCTGAGTGAGAGCCTCCGCAGTTTCTGCAGACTTTTTTTCCAGCTGATGTTTGGTAACACTTCTAACGTGCTCCAGATGCAAAAATGAAAAAAAAAACAAATATCTCCTGCTGAAAAAGTGGTGTCACACTCCACCTCTCGCCTGACTAATGCAGAGGATTTGATGCTGTTGTGAATCTATCTGTGCAGAAAACCTCTCGCTGTGTTGTGTATGTGTGAAAGACAAACTGTGGGTAAACTCTGTATAAATCAATTCTCTGGATTTCACACATAGGTCATGTCTGAAAACAACTTAAGAGTCTGAGACAGTGTCTCTGTGAGGTTATACTTAAGCACAACAGTGCAGCTCTTTGGCAAGTACAACTTTAACACATTCACTGTTTTAGTTTAGCATGAAAGTATATTACATAGGGAATTAGCACTAAGAATGAAATGTTTTTAGACATTTAAATTTTGACTTCATTATGGTGCTAAATGAAAGTTCAAGGAATCCTGAGTGTCTTTAGGATCTATCATCTGGGGGAAATGATTCCAAATTTACATATGCATATTTATTTGACTGAAAATGTTGCAGTGGATAACAGGAATCTAAAAATTAGGATTCAGGTCTCTTTGAAAAACTTTCAATGCAGTCAAACCTGTCGCTGTTTCAATATCTCTGAATTAAAGCACAGTGACAGTTATAGTAACACAAGACAGCAAAGATAACAAGAAACAAAGTGGACTGACCCGCAGGAAGCCATAAAGGCATATGGACATCCAGTTGGTCAACAGTTTCTCCACAGTTGACTCAGTGCGTCGTAGCAGCAGTTTGGGCTGAGTGTTGCTGTTTTGCTGCATCAGATCCTTCAGCAGAACCTCCATCACCTCTGTCAGGTACAACAAGTTGCTGTGGAGCGCTACTGTTAGTAGAGACGCCAGTGTACATCTGAGGAGCACGAAGAGGAGACGAAGAGGAGAAAACCATGGTTAGCAAATGGATAACAGGTAAGAGACGACTAAAACAGAATATATCGGCATTATAGAAGAGAGAGTCACTTAAACAGGGGACTGACTTGTTTTGGATGGTGAAGCTCTTCTGCTCCTCCAGGGCGTGAACCATAGACGTTAGGAAGAGCTGATCGTGGATCAGCCGGGAGAAGTCACGGGAACACTCATCAAGCTGAACCTTCATAGCGTCCTGTTCCAAGGTCAGACACAACAACAATGCATCACTGACACATCGCTGACAAACTGGACATGACATGAACCACAGTCGGTGACCAACCTTACCTGACTGATGTCTTTGATACACAACTTCATCAGAGACTCACTCTGGGAAAAAGTAACACAAAGGAAACATCTGGATAATGAATAATGGGTTGTATTTGATTTTTTAACTAGTTACACCATCAGTTTGTTCGATGTGGACAGTTGTCTTCGGTCCAGCGGTTAACTGTACCTCAGGAAAAAAGATTCTGGAGGCAAAGTGCTTGTAGTCCAGGAAAGGAATCGCTCCAACGTTTTCCATCAGGTCAGCTTTCTCTGTCTGCAGATCCACAAAACCTGTGGACGACAATGAAATGATGGACTACAGACCTGAGAAACAAAGCAGATTAAAAAAAAAACACGTATGCACACAGGCTTACTTCTCTTCAGTGTCAGATAAAAAAGCTAACTTGTGAAGCAAGTCACATGTTTGCATGTCACAAATACAAAGAGGCAGTGAAAAAGGAAGTGGTTTTCAATACTTGAGTTTAAGTTTGGATACGAAAACCACACTTTACATCTTAATTATTCCAGTCGAACACAGGATGGGACTTTGTATCTGACCTTGTCTGATATCATTCCTCATGTCCAGCTCCAGGTTTTCCATGAGAAGGTTCATCTTAGCAGTGAGCTTCTTCTGTTTGCTTCGGTAAACCATCACCACCACTGGAGGGCGAAACCAACTTGTTGAATTTTGCACACATAAACAAAAAGAGGGCTTTGATTTCCTCTTGAAGTTTTGTCTTTAAAGTGAATAGCGACACAACATGGGTTTTTGTACTCACTGACAACAATGAAGGGTATCAGCAGAAGAACATACAGCACCCTCAGGTAGGATAATGATTTAAGCTGCAGTTCAACCTCCTGGTCTCCATACTTTATCTGTAAATAAGCAATAATCACAGTAGATTTGAAAGGAACTTTGCAACACACAAATACATGTTTACTTCTTTGTAACTTTAGTACCTGCACTGAAACCCATATACTTGTGAGGTAATATGATTTGGCTGTAAGACTCACTATTAACTGCTGAAATTCAACATCGGGTGGGTTTTTGATTTCACAGGCAAAGTTATCCGTCTCATTATGAGTCTCTTTGGCCGTCATGTTGCAGGGGTAATGTATTTCTTTATGAACGCCCCATACTAACAACTCTTCCATCATCAGCTCCAGTTTGTCTGCTTCTTTCTAAAATGAAAACACAAAACAACGTTGAACTTTTTAAAGATTTCCTAACCTGTGTTTGTGAATGTGGAATAAAAAGATTACAACAATTCTTTACCTCTATGATGATGCGCACATCGTCCCCGGCCCTGATGGATTTGAAGCTGATAAACTTGGGATCTGGGTAGTAGTTGATCGTTAATTGTTGATTGTTGTTTGTGGAGCAGGGTAAGGTTTTGTTGGCTACTTTCAGAAACACAGTGCTGGTTCCCTGGGCACTTTTAGCTGCAAGTGTGTGATAGGTGAGATTCTGCAGAGAATAAAAAGGAACATTCTGTGTTATATAGAATATGATATACTATATGGGATTTTTCAGATTAGATCCCTCCACAACTATAGCTTTACTAAAACTTAATGATAATACATTAACAGGAGCAATCTTCATCAATTTGAAGAAAGCATTTGATCTGGTTGATCACAATCTTATTTTTGACAAACTGCTGGTCTGTCTCATAATACTATACTATGTTTCAACTCTTATCTTCATAGCAGGAAACAAAGTGTTGTTATACAGGAACAAGGTGTGGCTCAAGTCTTCTTCCACTGCGCTTCTCTTTTATCAATGATCTCCCAACAATTTGTTCAGAATGTTGTGTTCATTTTCATGTAGATGACAGAGTAATATACACATGTCAAACATTGATTCAATCGTCTGATTTTACTAAAGTACAACACTGGCTCGCTGCTATAAGACTAACAGGAAATAAAACTAAATCTACCGCACTGACTTTTGGTCCCTCATCAAAACAGAACAAGAACTAAAAAGTCCTCGTGTTATTTCCTGTCTCGGTGGCAGTCCTTTGCAAAGAGCTGAACGCATCAAACACCTCGGACTCTTAGGGACTTTCATTTAAATGCCACATTGATCACATTGTGAAGAAAATGAACTATAGTTTTAGTCTATGGAGCTAAATCTATACCACAACATAAACAAACAAAACATGGTTCACAAACTCCCCAACATTCATTTGCAAACAGTGTGATTTGCAAAAACCAAACACCATGAACAACGGGTGCATTTTGTTTTGCACACATCTGACAAATACACTTCTTGTTTCTAATAAATTATGCTTCAGAGAGAAATGGCCTTCCACATTTCCATCCACAAGTTTAATAATAAAAAAGCCTACAAGTAGAAAAAATGTGTTTCTGCAAGTACAAAAAAAGATATCCCATTATGACAAAGAACATGTTTTACTAATTTTATTATTGTTTGCAAAAAGACAGGCATTTGTTTTTTAATGGTTTTTTGTATTTGCAAACCACACTGTGTTTACACACGGCTGTGTAGATTTGCTATTGGCTGCCCGTTTACAACATATCACTGTATAATGTACGAAACCCTTAATCTACCCTCTCCTACTGTAAGAGAACAGTGTCATTGGCTGCAATTTATTTTTTAAATGTATACATTCCCGTTATCCTCAGTATTTGAGACAGTCATCGGTACCTTTCTCCTAAAATTATCTATTGAGACACTCTATGCACTCTTCTTCTCTGTTCTAGCAGTCTCTATGTCAATAGCTGAGAAAGCATTTATGTTTTAAGCTCCTTCTGATTGGAATCATTTACCAGTAAATATTCAATCTGTATCATCTGTCCATTTGTGTGTGTTAAATAAGTTGTCTAAATGTACTTGTATTACTGTGTTGAGGACCCCTTTGAAAATGAGATGATGCATCTCTCTTTATTAATCCTAACAAAGAATTTTAATAGCATGACATGATGTAATAATGTGACACGATTTAACATTTCTGAAAAATTGGGTCTGGACATGATCCAGAGTTTGTTTTTAACAGCTGAAGAAGACTGTCTGGGCAGACACGTTCACAACAACAGCAATGTTTCCAAAACATTAAAGTGAGGAAGAGGCGCCTGGATAGAGCATGCAGGAGGCAGGACACGGTGTGGAAATACTAATGTGATAATGTAATGTATACTAGACATAATGATGACATGGGATGATGTGATGTGACATGTTCTAATACAGTATAATTTGGCATGTTAGGATAAAATGTGTAGTGTAATGAAGCCTGACATAAAACCATACAGTGGAACACTGCCCGTCCACAGACCCACCTGATAGTTCTTATTTTCGGGAAGTCGGACTTCCTGCGGGGCGTGGCTCTGTGTGACCCCTTCCACAAAGTCTAGATGAGAGCCAATGATTTTCATCCTCCTCTTCCCACTGGCAGGAGACAGAGCAGCAGAGAATCAGAAACAGAGAGAGAGAAGTGGTGGTTGCTACAACTAAAAAAGGAAGTGGCCTAAGATGAAAGATGTTGCTAAGGGGAAGTTGCAACCTAACACTGTTCTTCACTTACTTATTAGCACACTGGCTGTGCTGGCCTACTTACATTATTACTGTCCTTATGTACTTATTGTATTTATTTCTGCTCACACTGCTTCATGTCCCCTCCCCTTTAAAATGAGCTGCAAACACTGATATTTAAGAGTGTGTCTAATTTAGTCCACATTCAAATAAAATTCTAAATCTATTGAATTTAAATGTGAGGAACTGTTGGCCTTGTTGGAGGTATGTGTTCTATTGATTGACAATCTAGAGTTCAGCATGACAGAACTAACAAATCCAAACATACCTGAGCCAGGTGCTGCTTGGTACAATGTTGGAGCAGGATGGAGCTGACTGGTAGGTGATGAAGCTGCTGCCATGGCAACTACCGTCTGGGAGGAGGACACAAACTTTGACCACGCCTTTCCTATCTGCACTGGGAATGTGGAACATCAGACTCACGCCTGTGTTGTTCCAAACAGGAGATCTGACAAGAACACACCGGATGAAAGAGGATTAATAAGGACATAATTAAACCTCAATTTAATCTCAGTTATATGTTTTTTCACAAATTTAACAAATCCGAATCATAAGTCTACTGGTTTTAGAGATGAGACACCAAAAGCTGTGTCAGCGTGAAAATGCTTTAAAGGGAAACACCACAAGTATAGATCTGGGTCTACTCTGGGGTCTCCTCCTGGTTGGGTGTGCCTGGTAAACCAACTCTTTGGAGGTGAAATATTCCTAAAGCTGATAAAATCTGCAGCTCCTCCATGGATACAGAATGTTTCAGACTATCTGGAGCCTTAAGATAATTAACAAAGCTGTAACACCAAATTTGATAAATGATTTTGTTTATAATATAGGTTTGCTTGCATGTGTGAAGCACAACAAAAGCTTGATCTACTGAAAGTACTCGCACAAAAACCTCATTGATTATGTCTCTGAGCAGAACCATATTTTACATCAACACCCAGATTCTGGCTGTAGGATTATTGACAGGACACTAGCACGTATCCAGTCACCTGTCAATACTGTCACCTTGTAGAATGTGTCAATTCATACAACAGCTGGCATTTCCCTTTAACACCTGCTGTCTTTGAAATGCATAATCGTAGTTGCCGTGAGCTGACTCACTCTTGTGGCGTGCAGGCTGTGTGCGCCTGCATCCTCACTCTGGTCACATCACCGAGGTTACGCCCGTATAACACCGTATGGTTTCTGCCGTAGAAAGACACGACACTGGGAGTGATGGAGGAGATCTCTGGCCTCTGACAGTAAAACACACACACAGATGATTATTTCACTGCCTACTGATGTTTTGAATTGGACTGAATGGGAATAACGTGAACTTCAGAGGGAAGCATGTGTGTTAGATTCGAGGGTTCGGACTCACAGAAAAGTTTATTCTTGGCACCATCGTTTGGCAAACACTGTCCTGCAGGAGGAATAAATTCATAAGATAATTAATAATTTTGATAATTGCTGAGGTGCACAGCCACCAGGGTTTCAACATAATGTCTCCAATGTTGTACAATACATAGCAAGACTGGAAAAACATGTTAGATAGATAAAAATGTGCATAATTACATTTCTGACTCCGTCATTTGCCCAGGAACACTTGTTTATGCTCCAGCCACATCCCGCCCTGATACACCGCACACACCTAAAGAGAAAACAAACCTTACAAAACAGCCACCAAAATACAAAGAGCACAGTAAACTGGCAGCAAACAGACAAGGTTTTTCTTTTCATATAAACTAACTGGAAACTCACAATGAAGTATTAGAGCCATTTTGAAGATACAATGCTGAGACTTTAAGGATTCTACAAGAATGAAGTCAATTTAATGAGAAAAATTCACAATATTATGAAAATACATTTGTAATTTTAAGGTGGGGAAATTTCATAATAATACAGAAATAAAGTCTAAATGGAGTAAAAAAGTAATAATATTGTGAAAACAAGGTTGTAACTTAATGAGGAAAAAAACTTATTGTTTCTTGAGAATCTGCAAAACCCCTTTGAATATCAAGCAGATGACAATCGAGCACTACCAAACATTTTCCTTCCCTACAAGAGAGAATATCTTCTGTACTTAACTAAAAAACCCTCATGTGACAGTTTGACTTCGTATATTCGGCCTCTGACACATAATGAACCCTAAAATTACAACTTCATTCTCAAGAGCTGATTTTTTTCCCTTTGAGTGGCTCCTTTACTGCATCTACTTCAGTGCTTGCACGTTTTATCTCTTTCACCTATGATCGATATTAAACATTTGTAAGTGTTTTGATTTGTGTAGAGCAGTGGCGGACTTACAGGACAGAGCTCGGCGGTCCACTGATGTCAGAGCAGTTGGTCAGCGTCAGTTGCTTGGACAGCACCATCGATCCAAGTCTAATTTTTACATTGACTGCACAGACAAACCAAACAATGAGCATTACAGCAAAAAAGTTCATCTCATCATATAGTTTTCAGTGATGAAACAGTTGCATTGAAGAGGAACGTCAGTCCAAAGAGAGATAGAGGTAAAGTGGCAGTATCGTCACTCTGGTAGTTTCACTTTCACCATTATGAGGAGCAGACTGAGATACAGATAGGTAATACCAGCTCCATGTTGGAATTTGCCATTCACACACACAGCATTTCTATATCAGGAATTTGTGTGCATCTCGTTCACACGGGCAGGGGATTCAGAGTCTTGCACAAGAACACTTTGGTATGTGGATTGTAGTAGTCGGGAATCAAACCACCAACTATCTGATTAGTGGTCGACCTGTTCTAACTCTTGAGCCTTATCCGCCTGCTCTGTTTTATATTAGTGGATCTCATGGTTAACAACTAGTCACCCTAAATCTAACTCGTATCAGAATGTTGAGTCTTGCCAACAACACACTTTTCTATGTGATGTAACAAATAATAACCTTAATATCTTTTTTGAGGCCCTTGATTGTCAGGTATTTATATCACTGGATTACATTATATATTATATTATTATATATTATATTAACAAAGATTACTAACCTTTAGGCGGAAGTCTGCCTTTAGGGAGGATGCAGGTGCATTGTGGGAACTGTGGAGGAGGGCCACTGGTGTTGTAACATGCAGAAAACTGACAGGCAAAGTTAGACCGTGCTGTTTGGCCTGCAGTCAGGTGAGTCTGGACGTTCAGTGCGATCTGAGAGAGATCAGGCTGTGAGTGTTTAAAGGACAAACAAGCGACAGACACAACTGATGATAGTTCAAACTCTGTCCTTCATCTCTACCTGGCCTGTTGGCTCCTCAGCAACTCTGAAGGAAACCATATTCTCTTGAAAATCCTCAGGAATGGACAACCAGTCTGAATCTTCACAGTCGTCTGCAAACATGCAACTAGAAAAAAGAATAATATCTGAAAACTGAGTTTACAATTGTTCAGAGATGTTAAAGATGCAGATGTTTGCTCACTTTTTCCCAGAGCCACACCAGACACACTGTGGATCCTGTGCAGACCAACACTCCTGCACATCGGCGTATGTGCTGCATTTTGATGCAGGAACACGCATCATCTAGAACAAAACAGTAACTCTTAGCTACACTTACAACATAAAAAACATCCTGGATACGTTTTCAGAATGATCAGTTCACCACATATATGTTTTTACATGTACAATGCACTTACCTTTTTTCCTAATGGCACATACACATGGTTACGATCCACCGGATCAAGATGAATCTTGGGAAACACTTGGCGATCTTCATCATCTCTGTAGAGCACCGTGGGACAGGAGGTGTGATAGTTCTTATCCACAGCGAGCTGCGGACAAAAGTACAGCTCTGGTTATGTTTCCAAGAAACTGAGTTGCTGTGTTGTTGAACATTTAAAGGTAGAGATAATGTGGGTGAATAAAAAAAATGGTTTTACTGTGTGAAAGAGAAAATGGTAAATGTCAAATTGTTTTTTAATCCATATTTTCATCTGTTTATGAGCAGACACAAGCACAGCTATAAGCACATGTGGCCACTTTGACTTTGGGTGGATGGCTCCGTTACCTAGGTGACTTAGACCAGTCCTATGACTACATGTCAGTCTTCACTGGATAAAGATCTCATACATTTTTCATGTCATGAACAAATACCAACATACCTGATATGCTAAAATATTTACATTTGTTGAAAAAGCTGGAAAATGTCTTTTAACCACTTAATTATTTTTGGGGGATTAATTTAACATTTAAAATGTATCAAAATTGTATTTGTAAAAACTTTATTACATTTTTTTTTTCTCAGGGAGACCAGGCAAACACCATTTCAAGATCACACAGTTATAGAAATAAACAGACGAGGAAAAAGATTGTATACATCTATTTTGTGTTCACTGTTCATTGTTAAAGGAAAAAGTCTCAGGGTGCTCATGTGATCACTAATTTCAGCATAAGTTGACAAACCATGCTTCATGCATTACCTCCCTTTATGTCACTGTGAAGTAACCAGTGACCAGAAGTCTGTTTTCAAGACCTTGTGATAATTTAGACGTCTTGTGCCGATGAGCACATCTTTGTACAGTTTCTCACGTGATAGTAATTGTTAGGGACTATTTTCAGCTATGGAATAATACACATTTGATATTCCATTGCAAGTGGGATTTTAAAGAAATACAGTCACGTTCTTCAGAATGAATTTACACTTATAATAATGACTGTTTATTAATCTAAATCAAATAATTCCAATTTTTTTTTTTATTCAATCAAACATCACCAGTTTTATCCTGTTATTGTCCCAGTCTTACCTCCTGCCTTTTTCACATTGAGCTTTTCTCAGTGTTATCAAGCCAGACAAATCTATTTTTGACCCTTTAATTGAGATTGACACAATCATAAAATTATTTATTTCTTAATTAAAGACAATTATAGCTGCTTTGGAAGAATTGCTCAACTTGAACCAGTTCAGTTTGTTAACACACAGACAAAATAATGGAAAAATTATCAGCTGCTGCGATGATTGGCTGTGGTGAAGCTGTGCACTGTGTATAGTTCAGGCTTTGTTCAGGACTCAAGCTAATGACCATCACTATTGTGGTTGTTGAGGCGAGCCTTGATCCACTCATGCCTTTCAGTCCTAATGGAGGACGCTGTGTTTTCTCTAAGAGCTTTCACAATCAGAGGGAAAAAAATGCAGTGTGTCAAAATCTTTAAATCGTCATGCTGGCTTTTCTGCTGAGCCTCCCTTATCATGTCCACATCATGTGACTTGCACTAGTTGCTTCACTTAGCCATCAACTAGTACACAGCATATGATGCAACTGTATTTTGTGTTTCTCAGGGTAAAAGGTTAAACCGAAATATCATGGTAATGCCTGCACTCACACCTTTTTTTAACTGTATAGTTGACTGCAGGAACCTTCCCCTGGACCTAGGAAGCTTTGCAGCAACTACGATTTCGACTGGAGGGACCAGGGTCCTAATTAAGTTCAAGGTAAATGCATTTAACCCTAAAAAATCCCTGGAAAACAAGAGTACTTCAGAAAAGTACCAGATCCAGTGTGGTTTGTTTTAGGTTTGGTCAAGCTTCACTTTTCTAGAGGTCGCCTGAGCACTCACCCATCTGCACACCTGGACCTCACTGCCTCACTAAGTCACAGTGCTTACAGATTCCATCTTTTAGTGAGCCTACTTTGCTATGGTGCAGCAGGGAATACCTCCCTTATTGTTATGTTTGTTTTGCATTGAAGAATTATAGCTCAACATCATTTAAAAAAACAAAACATCAGTTCTCATCAACGTTGTAAATATTTGTATTTAGTTGATGTGCTGTGCTATAGGTGACAGCTTTTGTACCTCTGTCTGTCCTGAGAGAGGGACCCCTTTCAGCTTTTATTTCCTCCTCTGTTAAAATGGGTTTTATATATTTTTTTAAATTGTATTCTTGCTGTGAGTTAAGCTCAGAGGAGGCCTCGCCTTGTTAAGCCCTATACGCTCCATTGGTGAATATGGGTTATACAAAGAAAACTTGATTGACTGACATAGTTGATACAACAAAAACAGATGAATGATATCAGTAGTACAGATTCAAATGATAGATACACTCCACCTTTGATACACACCTTAATGAGCTGCCCATCTCCAGTCCCGATGAAGAACACCACCCAGGTCTTGTGCCTCACTGCCAGCACAGAGGTCATGTTGCTCTGCCTGTAGAGCGCTGCCTCAGGCCTCAGTGTCTTCAGGTGAAAAACACAAATACATTGATCATCACATCTGGATCCAACAGAGCTCTAAAGAAGACTTGAGACTACATGTAAATACACAAAGCTCAATATCAAGTCCTCAGGTAAAGTGAGTCATGTAAATGTTTAAGTCTAATGACTGAAGCTGTAGGTCCAGCTGAAGAAATTGACAGTATGATTAACTTAGTGCTGCATTTAACTTTTTTAATTAATCAAATTGTCACTCATTAATACACTTCTTATATAATTTGCTCTTAAATAAGAGCAACTCACACAGACCACTGGCTGCCTACTTACTGTTACTGGATACCTAATATTGATTATGAATTATTTTGTGATGGAATCTAAAAAAGCTTCATTAATGGACCTGTTACCTTTGTGACACTTGGCGGGTCCTTACAGAGGTTGCAGAAGTCTGGATCTATATAGGTGTCTTCGGTGAAGTCTGGGCCGATGTCGAACACAAACAGCTCGGTGTTGGTCAGTCCCGCGTCCACACTGAACACTCCGCTCCACAGCACCCGCTGCGCGTCCGGCATCACCGAGGAGGCCACGAGTCTGTGTCCGTCTTCAGCCTCGGAGATCCTGAGAGTCGCACCTCGCAGCGACTTGAAAGTCTTTGACTTGCTGCCTTCAGCCTTGAGCCAAATCAGACGGACTCTGTTGTTTTGTTCACCAGAGGGCACGTTGGAGAGCAGATATATGGTGGAACTGATTTGAAATCCATCAACAAAATCCACATCGCCTACTCTTATGATCGACGGGGAATCATGTTCCTCGTTGAGAGAAAATATGCCTCCCACTTGTTGGTGATTTGAATTCTGGAGGGTGACAGTCTTGGAATCAGAGGTGCAGCTGACGTTCTGCCCCTTCTGTTGTTGTACCGCCGTCAGAATGAACGTGTTGCTCTCGGATGGACTATTCTTCACCTTCACCAAGACCGCGACGGACGCCTTGCTGTGCCACAGTGGTCCCAGCTGGATGGTCTCACTGTAGTTGAGGATGGAGATGTCCATCAGCTTCAGAACCTCGCAGTGGCCACATCTATCGTCGGTCACCCCGCAGCTGATCAAAACATCGTTCTCAACAAATGGCAACAACACGTTGATCCTGAGTGTTGCGTTCGATGAAGCCGTCTCAGAAACCCGGTGGAACTGCACCTGGTCCAGCTGCTGGACTTTCAGGACACCTCTCTGGGTCACATTGCGGACCAGGGTCAGGTCGTGGCTCAGCTGGTACAGCCTCTCATCTGTAGCCACGTAAACCGTGTTGGTGGCCACGGCGTAGTGGCGGATATCTCCATCGAAAGTTAAGCCTCCATCCTGCCCCCGACACCGAACCGCTGCTCCCCAGAGAATAAAAAGCAGAGCAGGCATCAGGATCATTTTAGAACAGCGATGGCAGCTTTAACCGGGAAAAACCTCACTGACGGCCTGCATGGCACCATACACTCCACCACACTGTCACTGGAGCCGTGCGTAAAAGCGCAGGGCATTAGCAGAAAACAGAAGTGGTGAAAGTGGGAGGGGAGCATAGAAAATGAAAACTGACTATATCTGTGACATGATGATTTTGCATCATTATTGGATTCAATCAATTCAATGGATCCCACTTTAATCCTACTTAAAAACCAGATCTACAGAGTTTCAGTCTAATATACCCAATGACCTGTGTGTGTTCCTGTGATGATTTCTGATCAGGACAGCCTCCAGTTAACATCACCAGAGGAACAAAGTCTGTGGCAGTGGGCGAGAACATCCTCCTTAACCTCTGTAACCCACTTTATAAGCTGCTACCACCACTGACCACACCAAAGCAGAAAGAACCACAACAGATATCAACAAGAAAGACTGGATGTCAGCTCTGCGAAGTTTGTTTCCTCTTTGACATTCAAATAATCAATCAAATCAAATTATAAGCATGGACCCTGTGAGTATACATTCATACATTTGTGTGAATATTGTTCCAGCTACTTGTATCACTGCCATCACCGCTTAATCATAAAAAACACCTCAAATGACTTCAAAACAATTTGCAAAATTAAGTAGAGAATGTTTAAAAAAACACCTTATTTCAGAGTCGTATGCTGCCCTCTTGTGGTTGAATCGAAACAGTTTAAGTCCACAGCAGGTGAAGATGCTTTCTATCACATTTACTCCAGTTTGTTTGAATGAAGCCCATATTTCAGAATTTGTTTGTTTTAACCACGGAGGCCATCATTTAGTAATTCAGAGGTGTGTATTCTTCTTCTTTTGTATTTGCTACATAGGTTTCACTCTTTTTGTTACATCGCAGAGATGAAATTCAAACGCATTTCCAAATTTGCTCCAGTTTAAAAATGTGACACTTTTTCCAGAGCAGCCATTTCTACATGGAGTTGATGACACAGGTGACCCAGGTGATGCAGTAAGAACGTGTTTGGTGAAGGTCTTTCCTCCTGTAGGGGTCACTGTGGCGACAATGTTGAATGGATGTCTGCAGTAAGACTGATGTGCTGAGTAGTGCCTGAGTCAAACTTAGGCTGTACAGTATTTCCACTAAACACAAGGTTCCAAACTACAAATGACACAGAAACAAAGGCTTCACACACAGACTGTATAAAAAGGGTAAATGTCAGAAAGGCTCTCAATAGTATCTGTCTTTAAAGCACCAACTAACACCTTTAAAAGTCACTAGTTAACATTGTTTGTTAAAACTGCAAAACATGGGTAAAAGAAGGTTTGGTATTACAGTAGGTTATGTGCCAGGACAGACGCAGAAAAACAGCTACTGATTCAAACCAAGCTGACAAAAAATAGAATAACAATGCAGCAGAAAACCTCTCTATCTGTATTTCTAGCACCATTGGATCCCTTGACTCAATTGAAAGCAGTAGATAAAGCATTCAACATTACATTGTGTAATTGAACATACCTGGACACAATTATAAAGACTCTTAATAAGACTTTGTTCCATTGATTCAGGTTCACAATTTCACATAGACAAAGGCTCTTAAAGAAATAATGTCTAGGTTTGTGCAGTTTGAATAAACAAGCTACCTTAATTCCTTAAATTCAGCGTCCGGTGTGCTGGGAATTTCATGGTTGAAAACATCAGTCTTGTAAGTGGCATCTTTGGTTTCCATGGTGCAGGGATTCTGCTTTCCCAACCGAACGCCCCATGCTGACAACTCTGCTATCGCCATCTCCAGTTTGTCTGCCTTTTCCTGAAATGACAAAACAATCAAATGCTGACCTTTCATGAATTTATACCATGTGTGTACATGTGAACAGAAAATATGTTGTAACTCTATAATGGACAGTGTGAAACCACGTGGATCTGAAACCAGTAAACTCTGGGTCTGAATAGTAGCTTACTTCAAAGTTTTCAATATTATTTGCATTCTGTAACGAGAATGGCACTCGGTTTGTTTCACCACTTCCGCTACATTTCAATCATTCAAGCCGCACCAAATTACACATGCTCAGAGATATGAATTATTCCCTGGTAAATCGGAAACAATACAAAAATAATCACAACATTTTTAAAGACTGTGAAAAATGTGTCCAGATCCATCCCAATTGAGTGGATTTCTTCAGTTTCATCAAAATCCACTAGTAGTTTCTGTGTTATCCTGCAGGAAAACCACATAACCTCCTTGGCAGAGGAAGTTACCCATATATGTGGTGGTTTTCACTGTTAGTGGTGGAGTCCACCATTCCACCCTGGATTCATCTTGCAAACACATGCATGAGGGATTGCCAGGAAGAGATTTGTCTCATTGCTAACCTCAAAATTTACTGTTCACTCTCCTCACATCAAAAAAGGAGCTGTATTTCCTTACTATGCTGCTGCCAGTTCTAATACTGATAATTAGTCTGTTCCCGATATGTACGATCCTTTTGGCAAATATATTTCATATATGCTCATACGAGTGAACAATACAGTGTACAATGACTTGTTACACAGAAAAAGAGAAAAGCTGCTTTTAACTTCAAAACTAAGGAGTTCTGTCTGATTAGAGACAGACCAGACTTAAAGGTTGAATGTGAATGCAGAGGCTTGCGGACACAACAGGAGCAGTACGGAGGGTTTTTTTACATTTGAAGAAGTGGTCTCCATTTACTTCAATTGTATTGGATTTGTTTGCAACGCTGTTTATCCCTGAAACGGAGTGAATGTTCCTTTTTGTGTGAACTATCCCTTTAAGGACCGGGAGAGGTTTGAATCAGGACCTTCCTGCTGTGAGCTTGTTTCCACTTTCCGTCGCTAGAGGTCGCTGTCACCCTGGGTATGGACGTGCAGCGGCATGCAGCAGCAGCAGCCCGGTCAGAGGCAGCAGAGTGTCGGGCTCTCCAGCAGCTCCGCTCCGTATATCTCCACTGACCCTTCGTCTCAGAGCAACATTCATCCCACAGAGAGCTGCTGCTCGGTCTCTGTCCTTCCGTCCAGCTGCACACATCTGTCCTCCCGTCCAGCGGCGCGCTGCGGCCACATCTGCATCTGGGAAGGTCACACGCATCTTTTTTTTCTTTCTTTTTTATCGGCGGACCGGACAACTTTTTTTTTTTAAATCCATCTCCAGATCAGCGTTGTTTCATCGGGACGTTGTCACTGCATTCAGCCGGATCTGGTGAGTGGTTCTCCCGGTGTGTTCCATGTGAGGTGATTCCCTCTGCGACACATGAGGGAACAGTGAACAGGCCAAAGGGTTTGATCATCTCCTGACACAGTGTGAAACCTTTAGCTCAGGATTATTCTGATTCCTCTGCGATGGAGAATCAGAAGAGTGAAATCAACATTCTTTTATGGGTATTTACATTTGTCCTTGGTCTTCCTGCTTGTTTAAATTGAACTTATCTTGCTTCACATTCATTTGACGTGCCATTCTCCAGAGTCACTGTTAAATTTGTTTCTTAAGAGGAGCAGCGGTGTCACATTTTAAAAGTTGGATAAATATTTCCAGACTTTTGGGATATTGGATGTGACCCAGCTGGTAAAGCATACAGCAGCAACATGTTTTTTTCTAAATTTAATACAATCACAATCGTGTATCAGTTTTCATGAATATGCAGTTTCATCTTTCTCTGCTGCTTGATGTCCCTCCACTGTCCCCTCTTGGGTTGAAGGATGTGATCAGCATTCACAAGCAGCTCTAAGTGTTGCATAATAGCCCACATCTCAATGGGACTTGAGGCCAGTCAGCACATCCCACACGGCTGCTTGCCAGAGCGGGGTCCTGGATAAGGTTGTAGGTGGGATGACAACAAAAATGAAGACTGGGTTGATACTGATGCTGTTGCCCTGAAGTGAAATCTGATGATTGAGACGAACATCCTCTGAAACAAGCGGTCACATCAGCTTTTAGCATCATGCACATATCAAAATAATGGGCCAATAGTGTAATGAATCAGAATGAGTCACAGTGGGGGAGAATTTCTATTTTATGGAACTTTCAATGGTAACGTTTAAACATTGAATGTCAGGTTGTGTGGGGGATTCTCATATGTCCTCTGCCTCTAATGACTCATTCTTATTGCAGGTTTTGTGTGTGTGATTGCATTTACTCCCTTCAAAACTAGAGAAAGACAAATGTTATCTCAGAGGAGACTTAGATAAAACATGATCAAACAGGAACAAACTGGCACAAAGTCTAAATCAGCATGAGGGCTGTCTGACCTGTCACTACTGGCTGAAGTCACCAGCTGCAGGAATATATACAGTAAAGTAACTTTCTTTGCTTAGTTTTTAAATATTTCAGGATTTTATCAGTATTGTAATACACGAGTAGGAGAGCTTTCTTTCCCTCCGGAGGCAGAGCACCATGCAGTCCACTGTATGTAGTTTGATGACAGCCCTGTGGTTTGCAGTCTTTCTATAGCCTGTGGTGCAGTGGGTCTCCTCCCATGGTTTGGAGCTCAGAAGTCTACAATCTCCATCGACCACAGCACCACCACCCAGATTCATTTCTCAGGGTAAAAATGACACAAGAATTCAGCAGGGCACAGGGCAGCAGAAAATACACGTGCATTGTCTGACAGTTTGGACGGGGTCCACTGTTCAGCAGAGGGCTGTGGATTAAAAATATACATAATAAAGTTACAGTAAAGTGTGGATTCTGAAACGAGGGCGTCAGGTCCATTGGTGTCATGCATTTCATGATCCCTTCCCGTGATACAGTACAATTCACTATAATGCTAAAAATAGAAAGACTGCTGAAGACTGTTTCAGGTTTAAGTCACAGTTGGTACCTGTTTGAAAAGCATTAATAGAATAATACAGTGTTGTAGAAATTGAGCTATTACTTGGTACAGGTGATACTTGTTGTATTCACTTTGTAATAGGGTTGTCATGATACTAAAATGTTAGACTATGATATGATGCCAGTATAAAAAAAAAGAATGCTCGATTGTACAATAAAAAGAAAAAGGTCCCCCACACACAAATTACTGTGACGCAGTCTAGCAGGTTTGTTGCAGGAAGTGAAGTGACTCTCTCGGTGTGTGAGAGAAGAACCACAACATTACTGCAGCCACAGAAAAGTTCATACTGCAAAGGATATGTTATGTTACTTGAGTCAGCCGTAATGTGTGACAAGAACTGTAGCTCTGTGTCCCTTTTCGTCCAACGTCACTATGACATCCTGTTACCAATGGAAACACTAAGACTACATTGAGGAAACAATAGTTGTGCTTTGGTATAAAAAAGGATATAAACATGTGGTATCGAAATATTCTCAAAGTATCAATACTTTTGACAACCTTCCCGTAAGAAGATTGATGCCCCTCTCAAAACTCTCTGTTAAATATGAAGCCTGAAAGCAGTTGGCCATTCATAGAGATTAGAAGCAGAGGGACCAGCTAAACCCAACACAATGACTCACCATTCTACTCACCACATAACTAACCATTAAACCCGAATGTGTTGTTTCTACACTGTGGTTTCTGTAACGATGAAACAAACGATGAAAATGTGTTAATTAGTCACAATCTAAGCCAACTGGCTCCTGGCTCTAGTTTCATATTCAGCACACAGACATGACAGCAGGATCAATCTTCCCATCTAACCGTCAGAATAAAAATTATGTCAATGCATTTCCAAAAATGTTGAAACGATTTTTTCATGTTCAAAGGGAGACAAGTCCAAGCCAACTTTGTCTAGAGTAAATAGGCCAACATTTTTAAAAAGGTTTTCCTATTCAACTCACAGCCAGCAGACAAGTTTGATATGAAACTGCGGTTTTAATTGCATATTTTTTTCTTTTCACTGACAACCTGCAGTGCTCTTATCTGACAATGTAAAGGTGGGAAACAAACAAACCAGTGTTTCTCAAAATAATGGACTGGTCCTTCAAATGCGTTTGTCTTGGATCTCTGATGCTGTAATACTCACGCTTTGTGCCTGACTATATCATTGTTAGACCACTGGAATAAGGACAAGTTGGAAAATGAAAAAGGACATTTTATTTCTGATAGCTCATTCAAAGGATTGTTTGAGGGTTGAGGTTAGGTTTAAAAGCATTTTGAAGTGATGGTTAAGGTTAGGTTTAGTGACTGGGGAATACATTATGTCAGTGAGTTTAATCACAAAACTAGAAGTACAAACACGTGTGTGTGTGTGTGAGAAAGAGAGAAAGACAGAGTGTGAGTCAGGCTGGTGGGTGGAGTGGGTGGAGGCCATAAATGGCAAAATGCAAAGAAGAATGACCGTGTCGGCAGGGAGACACTGCTGCGTGTTCCTCTGCCTCATCTCTCACTGGTGTTTCCCTGCTGCTGCGTAGGAGAGCGAGGGATCACTGCAGCAGAGTGTGTGTGTGTTTGCTTGCACCAAAATGTGTGAGTTGTAAAATGAATAGAGAGGAAGCAGGTACATGAAAGTGAGAAACAAGGCATGAGGACTGATGAAAAAAATCTGTTGTAACAGTAAAGAGTCACATAATCTGTTTGTGTGGGCTGCTACTGTCCTCTTCATTCAGTACAACACTGAATATTGAAGGACCATTTTTATACTTTCAGCTTTTGGAAGCATTTCATGACTAATACTTTCATCATATAATGGGGGGGACGTGACCCTCCATCCCTCGTGGTGATTACGTGCTTGTTTCCAAACACCTCAAACTAAAATGGATAGACAGAACAAAACATTTTTGTTGTCGCGGTTACTTCTCTCACAGCACTATCACCGTGTGATTCATTGTTTTGATTGTGCTGTCTGCATGGTGGAAAAGCATCCACATGAGTAATGACAGAAACAATAAAAATATTTCAAGAGGCTGACGGCTGCCATGATGCTGACGAGTGAGAGACACAGAGATGGATGTTCCGAGCTCCACTCAAGCCACGGCGAGTGGCACACAGCCACACCATATATGGGTGTGTGTATTGAAACAAAAAGGGAAAAGTTATCTTAAACCCTGTGTGTGTCTGTGCACTTGTATGGCTATACATTGAGAGGACCAGTGTAGGAGTTCAGGAAGGTGAGGAAATTTTGGCCGGTCCAAGAAAGCTGGAAGTTTGCCGCCTCATAACTTCAACCAGTATGAAGCTGGAGAACACGTTTCTGGCACTGACACACACTCATGCTTTTATTAAACTGGACAGTTCCTGCTGAACTTGTGATCCGTTTCAGTTTTCTACCATTTTTCTTGGACTATCTCATTTCAATCAACAGAGATGAACAGACGGACGACGGAAGAAATGTTTCGGGTTCATTTACACAAAAGCAACAGCTGACAGATTTTCAGCTGAATTCAGAAGTAACTCAGAAGGCTATAAATTGGTTCTCATGATTGAAAAAAAATTGTAGCCTGGAATCACTTATTTTGCCTCATAATTACATTAAAATTCACAGGTTTACAATTCCTGCTGTCCTTCAGTGGCGCTTGATCAAATACGTTTTTGCCCATTTTATGTATCTGTGTGATATGTGGTTTCACAACTTTCTGCAGGAAAGAGTTAACATGTTACATACTGGTGCATTACAGTATTTTAAGTAACACTGATAAGCCCAACGGTTGCTGGAAATCTCCAAATAACATTCACACAGGTAAGAGCATCCTGTTGTGTTTCAGCCAGCCATTACAAGACCAATTTGCTTTTGCGAGAACAGACTCAGTCAGAACATTGTGAACAGACAACAACAGAGATATTTGTTCTTCTTTTAGGGAAACTAGTGCAGTGCCCATTCTGAATATAATTGTCTGGAAACTGCTGTTTGCTTGGTGATGGTGATGCTGGTTGCAGATTTCTTTCTGAAACTGTGACCAGTGATCAACCGGATTCTATTCTGCACTGAATTTATAGTCAATGCTTTTCATAAAATTAAAATTAATTTGCTTTGTTACTGTTTGCGTCTGAATTATACATAGGTTTGAATGATGATCTTTTTTTTTTTACATTGCATGTTGGCTATTTCAGAGGTTTGTTAACCAGGTGAGACACTCTTAGGCCCAAGTTCACAACATTTCAAAATAGGAGCTCTGTAGTTTTGTTCGATATAAAGAGTTGCAGAAACAAAACAAACACATGCCTTCTCTTGGCTGCATGCATTGGGTGCATGCATTGGGTGCTGTGTACTGTGAGCCTCTACTTAAAGCGTTACACTACTAAGTGCAGTGCATTAATATGAATGTAAACACAAGCCTCAGCTGTGTGTGTTTGGTTTTTTGTTATCAGTCACAGTGAAAGTATCCGAGGATTCTTCTGCAGTCACAAGATTTCAATAAAATTATCATTGTCTAGTTGTTTTTAGTTCAAACAGCAGACAGGAGTGTCTTTGGGGCAGAAATGTTTAATCAATTATTTTGTTAAAATAACTGCGCAGTGGGCTATTTTCTTACCAAACAGACTTGTGATTGGTTGTTTAATCGGGCAGCAATTCTGTTTTCTTTTTGAATAAGCGATTTTAGCTCTGTGCATGCTCTGCTCTACGCCTCCCTGCTCTCTCTGTCTTCTGCCCCATTTATCAACCCTCTGCATCTGTTGTACACCTGTGGGAAAAATCTAGGAGGTCAACAACTCTAAAAAACAGACTGACCCCACTGTCTCAGTGATATAAACACTGCACACTGTGGTGTTTGAAACTGAGACCATATTACATTGTGGTCTTTGTATGCGTTATCTCCTGCCGATGGACAGTCAGAAGCGTGAGTGCCTTCACCTTCAGCTAATTAAATCTAGAGCAGGAATGATACAGTGCCTGTTTGCAGTGAAAATATAAGGAATATGCTGCTTAAAGTGCTGCACAACTGCAAATGACTAACAGTGCAACTTCTTTTTTAAAAGTAAAATATTTATTTATATTGCAAATATTAATATTGAATAATTACTTTACTTCCTGCCTTCCTTGTTTTTCTAAACTAATATGATTTTTTGTAAGGGACATCGTAAAAATGGTTTACATATTCCTATTTGAAATATTCATACAAGTGGGACTAAACTCCTGGAGATAATTTACTTAACTGGCTGTCACTGAAGTTTGCCTCATTCTGCTGATGCTGTCTTTCACCTTCAGTATAAACAATGTAGTCATTGTGCTCCACTCTCTTTTATCAATAGATGCTCTGCCACGACTGTCGTGGTGTCAGTTATTATCAAAACTGCAAAAACTGCCTGTGCCCAGCCTCACGAAGACAGAATAAAATCCTCTCTTACCCAGGAACATGACCCTGTCACACTCTCTATCCAACCTTATCTCCTTGAAATCACATTTGTGTACAACTACATACATGTTAAGTTAGAAACATGAGGCAAACAGCAATTTTCTTTTCACAGAAATCCCGTCTTCACTGCTCCAAAATAGCCACTGGCTGTTGCTGTTTTTGGAATGGCAAAGAAGAAGTGATTTCCGGAAGTCGAAGACTTCTGTTTTGAGGGGTGGCACTAGTATTGCCGATCAAAACACTGGCAATCTCATAAAGCATTTGAAGAAATATCACACAATGGAGCACAAGGACTTCACCAAGGCGAAGGGAAAAAGGGACTAACCACAGCAGGAAACCACATTCAAACAGTACGATAAATTCGATTAAAACAGACGGCAATTTTTTATGCACTGGTATCAGCTCGATACTCAATATCAGCCAATATGCAAAAATCCATGTATCAGAATTTGTATTAGGAGGGGACAAATGATGAAATAGCAAATAGGAATATCTCTACCAACTGCAACCAGTCATGATTAGTCATTATTCGTTTTAGGTAAATTAAGTATGATATTGTATTTCAATGTTATTTAAGTATTCATAGAACCTTGTTAGAAAGATCATGGCCTTGATTAAAAATACAGAGACGGTCAACTTTGACTTAAATTAACATTTACCAGGAAATCCCTGTATGAATCGCAAACTGTGCTGGAAAATATAAATAAACTTGTCCCACGTCTTTCCTCAGACACTACTGGACGGATGGGCGCTGTCAGAGCTCACTGATTGCCTCGCCAAGCTTTGCTGATCGCAGCTGCCGTGATGGCCAAAAGCCCGGAGGTGAAGCTGGCCATGTTCGGCAGAGCGGGGGTGGGCAAGTCAGGTAAACAGCTGTGTGTTTGTGTTTATTTACGCACATTACTTACTTACAAAAGAAAAGCTTCTCTTAAAATTCATCCTATATTTCTCTCTGCGTCTGGTCTGCTTTGAGGGCAGGTCTGTGTGTCTCACAATGACCTTGGCTTTCTAATGTTTTCCTCAGTCACTCTTTCGGACTTTTACACTTGCCATAATTTGTTCTCGTTCTCACTATGTTTGCGTTGTCAACAGTACAGTAGGAGGTTGTTTTTGGTCTGGCTTAAATACCTTCCCTCCCACAGATAAGTCTGTCGAGTCATTACCATTGGTTTGTAGCATTCCTCTGTAAGCAGCAGCAATAGCTCGGCCTCAGCTGGCGCCCTGCATGTTTTCTCCAGTAGCTAAGACAATAACACAGACCATATGTTTCCTGCCAGCTGCAAATCAAGATGTATTGCTTCTGTGTTGCAATCAGCTGTTTGAAAAACATGCTTCAGGATCTCTTCCATGTTGAAGGAGGACATTAAAATGCCTGAGGAGGTCAACTCAAGGACTATTCTACAAAGTATAATGACTGAGGAGTTCATAACCTTCAGCTGAAAGGAGAGTGGCTGTGAGGCAGTGAGGCTGACAGGCTCTGACATGGAACTCTGAAACCTTGTTTGTGGAAACAGAGACCATGAAGTTTCAATCTGTGGCTTTTCTTTTTTTAATAAGACCTACACTGTTAGCCTGCTTCACCTTGACAACCCACTCAGTTTTTACAGTGACCCCCCTGTTCTGTAGCCAGCCTCATGTTCTCATTTGAAATGACAGAAATGGTTGATTAGGTTATTGGTCAGGCTTCAGGCACTGTCACTGCTCATTTCTTTGGAACCTCTGTGATGATTATTGAATTAGAAAACTCACAAGAACATGTTCATTTCCAATCGGATGCGACAGCAATCAAACCATGACTCAAAACAACAGCTAAATATAATAACAACTAACAAGTTGTGAGTTCACAACTTTAAACTTTCAGTACAGGTTTAATGTCAGGGGCTGATAAAGCTACATTGGTCATCTCTGCATGTTCAGTTGCACAGCTTTCCTAAAATAACCTTAGGGGGAAAAGTCAATATTCCGCCTGTTATCTGACAGTGGGTTGTAACTTCCAAGGTATTTTTATGATCTAACAGATATCTGCTTTCTGCCTTAAATGATAACACCTTTCATCAAAGCAACACAAGTTTCTAAATCCAGCATTTCCACAGACTGTGCCCTTGCTTGCCACAGCTGACTGGATGTTTGACCAGAGAAGAAAAGCAGAAAATAGTCTGTATTGGATTTAATAACTGGTTTCACACAAGGCAAAAAATAGTATTTTATCATTTAGTGGACAGCAGACATCTGTGCTATCTTCAAAACACCTTTGAAGACACAGCCTGCTGAAAACGAGCTGAAGGACTGCGGCCAAGCTATCAGCTCTGTGAACACATACAGCTGTAACAGGCTGTGCTAAGGAATAGAGTTGCTTTAAGCTAGACTATGGCACCAATATGCTCACAGCGACATTATTAACACACCAACTTATCAATCTTATAATTGTCAAGACATTTCAATCAAAACCACAGCCAACAGGGATGTTGCAACAGGATAGGTCCCCAAGTAGAGAAGGCCCCTCAGGGAATGGCTGATTACGAAAGGTCTCAGCAAAAATTTTGTGAGAAACCCAGTAAAGTCTATAATCGGCTATGTGCAGAGGACTGCAACATCATGGTTGGAAACCATTTAACGGCCATGTCACAAGCTGTCTCCAGAGTTAAAAAAAAGATATTGTGTTGTGGACTGCGGATATTGCACTATTATTTATGTGTTTACATAATATGCAAACATTTTTATAGTTCAATACTATGGTCCTGCACTGCTGTAAGTGTGTGTTGTTTAAAGAAAAGCCAGGCAATCATCATATTTCATAAGATCTATCCCCTGAAGGCCATGAATATCTGTACAAACTTTCAGCGCAGCCTGGTAAATCTTTGCTGAGATACTGGATCAGTCGACTGATGCTGGATCTCTAGGCTACTTGTATGGCAAAAATTTAAAAAATCTACTGTTCCCTTAAGGTTTGCATTGGGAACGCTCCGCCACTGAGGTCATAAATGGGGCTATGGCTGATGAAGTGTCCTACACAAAACAGATTTTCAGACAGTTCAATCATGTTTTTGTCTCTTGACCTGATGTCTGGGCTTAAGTCAGCAGTGTGGGAGAACAGAGAAAATTAGTCTCAAGTCAAATGAGGGTGTAAGAAGTCTAATTTCCATCCTGCTTTTTGTAGAGTCCTCATAATGAACTCATTGTTTACTTTCTGGAAAACCCTTCAACACTGACTGCATCCTAACATTGGATTAATCAATTTTCCTGATGCTGTCCTGTCACCTGCATGCCACCTGTTACTCTCTATGATGCAGACAGCAGTAGCCATTGTTTTCATTTGGAGCTACATGTAGTCTCAGTGATCCCTGCAACAATGATTGGCTCTTAACCAAAATATAGCTCTTATGTGAAGGCACACAGTTTATAATGAATCACATTTCTTCACAATGACAAACATCTGGGCTGTAAATTATATTCTCACTTCATGTACAATATGACAGGAAGGAAACACTAAACACTGATGTTAAACAGATTTGACATGTTGTTTTAAAAGCTTCTGATATGTTGGAGGGAGCTCTTGTTTGCAGTAAATAAAACTAAACTATGTGTCCATTTCAGCTAAAGAGTTTAACATTAAAGTTTAACCTACCACATAAGAACCCATCTCAAGTGTCTTTGAGCAAGATCCCAATTTGGGGCAATGTGCTAAAATGTACAGAAGCTGAATGCTGATCTCTGATCTTTAAGTTACATTTCATAAAGAGAAAGTGGTGAGAACATTATTTTCTTAGCCAAATGGAAGAAAGTTATTACATTCTTTGATCATTAATTATAAGCTATTTATCAAGCAAAATGGTAATTTGTATGATTTTACATTCCCCAACATAAGGGTTTGCAGTTAGTTTCTCGTCTCTATCATTGTAAATATAGATTTTGAACATAAGAATTTTTTTTAAATGTCATATTAGGCTAATGCAAACTTCAGAACTGCTGTTTCTGTTTTCACAATTCTATTGTATTGACCAATGCTAACACGCTCTTATGTAGCAGATATATTTTTTCCCATATTCACCATCTTATTGTACTAATATGCCTTTATTTTACAGATTACAGTCATGGATATATTATATTTTTATATACCTGGAGATACTTCAACTGAGGTATGAGGTCTTTAGATTTATCTTCTGGGCACTCTGATTGTAAATACTAATCTTTCTTTATTATTACTAAGTCAGGGGATTACCAAAGTCATCCTCTGGGACCATGAATAGCTGTAATTTCAAGGAAATTCATCCAATAGTTGTTAGTTTAGTCGAACAAAAGTGGTGGACTGATTTCCTGACTAATATTGCAATTCAAGTAGCCATGTCACTAACCTGACTAGTCAAATCAACATCACCTGTTACCATTCAGTTACAAACTAAATGTTTGCGTGATGGAGCTTCTCTGTTTCAGACTCAGCTTCAGACTTTAAGTGCTTGGTTCTGCTTGGACAATATTTATGTTCTCAATCCACCAATCCTTCCATCTTTATTTTGGATAGCAGTACTTGTGCATGTGGGTAAGAGATGTGACGTGAATGGTTCTTGTTTTAGTTGGAGTTCAGTGTATTTGTGCTTAAATAGTAATCATTCACATCCAGAGCTTGTTAAGTTCCCACTGCTGGTTGGGAAAAAAAATTAGTAGAAGCAGAGCTGCTGGGTGTCTTGGCGGCTTTGAGGGTTAACCGGGCTCTTTGTGATGGTCTGACCTGGACTCCTGCAGAGCGATCCAGTGCTAACAAAGAGCAGAGTATATTAGTTGAGTGTGGCCGCTCTGGCACTTGGAAGCCTTTGGTTTATTGACTCAGCTGAGGGGAAACTGGGGATCAGGAAATCAGATAAATTTGTCCAATAACTGTATATCCAGCTTGGACTCTACAGTTGTCTGTGCACGCACGCATTCTATACACCATTATGCACCTAACAGAGCATCAAGCAGCTTCAGAACCAAATTGCTGGAGAACAGTAATATAATGGCAGTCAGTACAGAACATACCTTCAGCAAGGCTCAACAGTCTCCGGATTTCCTTATCAATATAAAAATGGCTTTGATTTTACACTACAGCATGTGAGGTAACATTCCAGTGAGGTTAAGTGTTGACATTTACATTGATAACCAGCAACGATCACTCTGCCCTACCCTTTCTGCCTACCACCCATTTTACAGACATATCTGTATGGCAGATAAAACTCATGTATTGTAACGCCCTATTTCACAATGTTAAAGAAAGTGAAAAAAATTCCTCGATGTGCTCATTTATTTGCATCCAGACCAAAACTGAGTGGGTAACAAACAAAAAACAATGAAAAAAAACCCAAACTCCATGGCAGAAAAATAAGAATCACTCTGCAGACTCCTGAAGGAGGCATCCCAAAAGCAACAATGTAGAGAAATAGCCTCTGCTGAGCTGACCTTAAAAATCCCTGCCAAAGACACCCCCGTCAATTACATGAACAACACAGATAACCGAAGATGGCTGTACATCCAGGATGGGTTAGGTTTTAGCAAGCCTGTTATTCAGTTAGAGGTGTAATGCTGTAATATTGTCGATTGTATACAACTGTGTTGTATCAGGGATCTCTAATTCCTTTTAATATACAGAAAAACAGTCAATGTAGAAGACAACGTAACCAGATAGCAGCATGTCTCTAAATGGTTTTGACAGCATTACTTTGTGAGCTCATGATAATAGCTCTGAAATTGGCTTCCTGCTGAAACATGGCACAGTCAACCTCTCACACTCAAATCACTTTTGCAGTGATCATGCTGCTCCCAAAATCAACTTTCTGTAATGTCTGCAGCAGGAAATTAAAGTCCTGGAAAATTATCAAATAAATGACGGGCTTT